TCCACTGCGTGCTCAACAGCAACAACATGGCCTGCAGCTTCGCCGTGGGGGCCGGCCTCCTGGCCTTCATCAGCTGCCTGACCTTCCTGGCCCTGGACGCCCACGAGAACCGCATCGCCAGTACGCGCTTTAAGACAGCCTTCCAGCTCCTGGACTTGATCCTGGCTGGTGAGCCCAGGGGACCCCCGCCCGGCGCCGCCCTGCTCTTGCTCCCTCAGGACACTGCCCTTCGCCCCTCCGCTGGCCTCTGACCTCCACGTGTGACCCAAAGTTTCCTTCCTCCCTTCTCACAGCTTGTCTGCACCTGCACTTTCCTCCCTGGGGAATTATGACTCGCCCTTTCGACTCGGTGTAAGGGTCACTTCTTCTGATCCCCAGGCCAAGTCTAGAAGCCTCTCTTCTGCCCAGTTTTTTCCTTCCATTCACCTCCCTTCTTCACCGCACATTTCTTCAAAAGCCTCCGGCTATTAGGAGGTGGAGTTCAGAGCCCCAAGCCAGACAGATCTGGGTTCAAAATTTAAACTCTGGGGCCTCCTTGCCCTGTGGGCTCAAGTGCGTCTCCTCCCCTCCCTGAGCCTCACTAGAATCTGGGATGAAAACCCCACCTCGCAGGGTTTCTCTGAGGATGAAATGAGAGAAAGGACGCCTGTAGTAATACTGACCTTTACTGGGCACTTCCCGTGTGTCATTTACTCCTCAGAACCACCCAAGGAGGTAAGTCTTGTTCATATTCTCATATTACAGAGGAGGAAACTGAGGCTTAAGGAGGTTACGTCATTGGGCTGCTGAGTGGCAGATCCAGGCTTCAAATAAAGTCTCACCTCTGTTAGCCAAGCACCCTACATAGAGCCTGGCACTCAGTAAGGGCTAAATAAATGCTCCTTTCTTTTCCTCGGGCCCAGGCCTCCTGTCTCGCAGTCTGGATGACCTTGTCCTCTCCCCACACCCCACCCCCTTCCTCCTTCTCAGCACAGGGCCCGTCCAGCGTCTCAGGGCTGAGAGGGCCCTCAAAGGGCACTGAGTCCAGCACTGTCCAAGAGAACTTCTCTGTGAGGGTGGGAACGTTCGGTGCCTGCGCCGCAGGCCATATGTGGCCCCTGAGTACTCGAGCTGTGGCCACCGTGACCATGGGGCTGAATTTTGTAATTCAATTTTAATTGATTGAAATGTAAATAGCCATGTTTGTGGACAGTGCGGCTCCACTCCAGCCCCAGCGGCCCTCCCTGAGCCTGCTCTCCCCTCACCCCTCTTCTCTCCTGCAACCCCAGTCCTCTGGGCAGGCACCTGGTTCNTAATATATAACGTAAACCTAAGATATCAGGTGTTGGGTGATCACTATGCCAGGCACTGTGCCAAGCAAGAGCTTTACGGGCGTTTAATCATCGTCATATTCTCCAAGAGTCAAGACACCTGGGCTCAGATCCTCATTTAACCAAGACTTTGCTGTGTGACCTTGGGCCAATCACTGCTCCTCTCTGGACTGCAGTACATGAGGGGTCAGAGCTCTGCTGCCAACATTGCTCTCCACTGACAGAGTTGGAAACTGAGGCCAAGGGAGATAATGAGACTTGACCCGGGTCATGGGAGTAGGTGGGATGCCCTGGATCGAACCCAGGGTCCTAATCCAGAGTATCTCCTTCCTATCCCTTCTGGAACCTAGGGTCAGAGGATCTCACATGCCTGGCTTGGAACCCTGGCTCGGCCACATGCTGTCCACATAGGGTGACATACTTCTCAGTTTGCCTGGACCAGTCCGGACGTAATTATCAGTAGCACCACCTTTCATTCTCAAAAGTGCCCCTTTTTGTTTGATAACTTACCGGGTCACCCTATGTCTATGTGACCTTGAGCAAGTGACTTGATTTCTCTGAACCTCTGTACCTACGTGTAAGGAGAGGACACTAATATCCTGTTCACAGGAAGGCCTGTTGTGAAAAAGAAACAAGGTAATGTCCCTAAACTGATTAGCATGGGCCTGGCACGTCGTAAACTTTCCTTAAATAGCAATTATTATTGGAACAAATCATTACTTGTGAACGAGGAGAAAGATGGGTTTCCAGGGCCTAGGGTGATGGGGACTCGTGTCCACTGTCATCATGTCCACTGTCTTCATCACCCAGGGGGAGGAGAGAAATTACGAGTTCCATGTCCTAGTTCCAGGTCCTTCACTGGTGTTAGCTCTTCTGCTCCTCACCACAACCCCGTGACATGGGCATTGTTACTCCTGGTTGACCCAAGGGGAAACTGAGGCTTGCAGAGGTTGAGTGACTTGCCCAAGAACATCATGCAGCTGGTGAGCAAGTCAAAAGGAACCGCACTCCTCCACAGCTTCGGAAGGAAGGGCCAGTGGCAAGGGTGAAGGAGGCCCAGCTGGTGTGGCCTGGTGTGGGGAAGGGGGAGGGGAGGGTTGCTGACCAACAGCGCCAGACGGTTTGGTCACAGGCTTTGCCCGCTGCCTGCATCCTCCCTCCCTTCCCTCCTCCCGAACTCTCCTCCTTCCCCCCTGGCCTGGCTCCTCAGTAGGGACTCTGGGCAGCTGGTGCGCTTGTCCTCACCGCCGCTTGCCAGCTGGTACCGTAACTGATGAATCTTTGCTCCCTCCCTGGGGACAGGCCAGAGAGGGCGTGGAAGGAGGTTTAGACTCAGGCTTTTGAGGGTTAGGATCCCTCCGGCCCAGCTGAGCCCCTTCCCCACATCTCCAGTGCCACAGCCCAAGGTTTTCGGGGTCAGTGAACAGGGTCAGACAACACACCGACCTGGAAGTCAGGAGGCTGGAGCCCAATCCCCCTCCCCCACTGACTGACCTTGAGAGGACACTTGCCCTCTTGGTGAATCATGAGAACTGTCATTAAGGCTAAGCTCCCACTCCAGGCTGGGAAACTGAGGCTCCAAGAAGTGAATGATTTGCCCAAGGCCACACAGCTGGCGGAATCAGCCATGTCTGGCTCTTTCCACTCCACAACAGCTTCGATTTATCACCTGTGAAACAGAAATGAATTAGTAGCATCTAGCACGTGGGGCTGGTATGAGGCTCCAGGGAGGTGATGCAGATAAAATGAATACAGACAGGCTCAAAAATGATCAATGGGCCTTCCTGTCCTTGACCCAGCTCTGCCTCAGACCACCAGGGCAAGCGCTCACCCGCCTTCTGTGGACTCGGTTCTTCAGCGCCAAAACAGAATGGTTAATGCAAACATGCTGGACAAAGAGAGGGACTCCTTAATATTATTATTATTATTATTATTATCATCATTATCATTATCATTATTTAGAGAAGGCAATTAAGACAAAGGAGAGAGGAAGATCAACAGAAGCTGAGGAGTTTAGGAGTTGATCCTTTGCCTCCCCCATCCCCACTCTGAAGGTCAGGGCAAGAGCAAAGAAGGAAGGCCCAAGGTCATTCACTCTTTCAACACATTTGCTGAGGTCCAATATGGTGCTGGATGCCATGGAGAGAGAGAAGGGTCCCNAATGATGGTGCCAACTTGGGCCAGTGAAGCAACGTCCTCCACAACTAGATTGAAGAACAAAACGACAGCAACTTGTCTGTTCCCTGTTCCCCAATTCCCCAGCACTGTTCCCATCCCCCAATTCCCCAATAAAAATCTTAAAAAAAAAAAGAATGGCCAGTGTGGAGCCAGACACATAGTCACTTTGCTCAAGTGACCTCCCCCATTCTGAATGAGGTTAACCAAAATAGCTGGAGTCAAAAGTCCTGGGTTCTGGTGTGGCCTCTTCCACCTGGAGCAAGCCCCAATGCCTCTCCCAGCCTCAGTCTCGCCATATGAAAAATGAACCCAGTTTGGGTGAGTGCTCTGGGCAAGGTGGTGACAATGATATGTCTGCAAAGTCTAGGTCCTGCAGCCACGCCCGGGGTTCCCGCCACGTCATGGTGCAGCCTCCCTGACATTCCTGGGACTCATGGGCCAAAGTCACCCTATATCAGATTTATCTGGCTTGCAGGGACTTTTTGAAAATACATTTTGAATCTGTGACCAAAATTTTAAAGCGAGATCTTGCAGGAACTCCCCTGAATGATGGCTTCTGTTGAAACCATCAGCCCACCTGGCCACTCAGGGCCAGCTTCTTCCAAGGCAGGAGTGGGCCTAGGGGAGGAAGGCCTGCTCTGAATTGGATTCCTGCCAGGCTCCAGGAGCCAGGAGATTGCAGACTTAGCACAGGCCCTCCCAAAATTCCTCCCAGGAATTTGCACGGGTGCCACCAAAATGCCACAGAATAAAAACCATGACAGCTAATGTTTAGTAAAAGTTACCAACATGATATTGAACTACTCAGTCTGAACAAACATTGACACAGCACTTCCTGCCTAGTGCCAGACCCTGTGCTTTACCAATATTAACCCTTCATTAGAACCCTCTGAAGTAGGAATTGATTATCCCCATTTTACAGGTGAGGAAACTGAGGCACAGAGAAACTGATTTGCCCAAAGTGCCACAGCTGCTAAGTGGACTTCGAATCACTGCTCTCTGGTTCTATAGTCTCTATGTTTAACTACTAGGCGATGCTGTGTAATCTCAGTAAATCCTCACAGTGATCTGATCTCAACTTTACAAATGGGGAAACTCTGGCACTGAGAGGTCAAATCACATGCCCAAGGTCATGTTACTAGAAGGGAGCAGATCTGGGATTCAAAGCCAAGTAGCCTGGCTCCAGAGCCCCTGTTCCCAACTCCTAGGCTGCCAATGACCTTGGACAAGTCATTTAGACTCCATAAGCCTCGGTTTCCCCACCTGTAAAATGGAGCTGCTGTGAAAAGTAATGAGTTAATGTATGCAAAATATTTAGAGCAGCACCTTGCACACAGTGAGTGCTACCGCTGTGGACCACCTGAGTCCACAGCCATTGCGCTGAACTTTATGTCCTAAAATAAGGAAGTTTGAGCAATCCTTGCAGAAGGAAGCCTTTGAAAGGGTCCACTGTCAACAGCCATTCTGGCACAGCCCTTCCCCCCATTACAGGGACCCTGCCAGGTAGGCTACCTCTAGAGGGGTAAAGTCATGGTTGACCAGGAATGCCAGGATGGCCGTGGGAACAACGAGGAACTCCACCCGAAATGTGTCGTGGTTCCCATCATAAGTGGCTTTGAACTTGCTGTAAATCATCCAGACTGTGGTGAAGGAGCAGGCAATATAGACCACCTGTCAAGGGGGATGATGAGGAGAGCATTTCAGCTCACAGCACAGGGCCTGTTCCCCCAACAGACTCAGTCCCAGGAGTCTGGAACCCCAGGCCCCTCCTCCCTCAGACCCAGAAGTCTCAGCCCCTGTCATCTCCTCCCACAGACCCAGCCATCTGTGCCCCCAGCCCTTTCCTCCCTCACACCCAGAAGTCTGGGGACCAGTACTCCCTCCTCCCTGGGGTTCTCACCTGGCTCCCCCCTCAAGAGGTGAGGTAGAGCCTTTACCTTCATGCACGTGTTGTAGAGTGAGATGTAGTTAGTGAAAAGGTCCAGGTAACGGGCAGTGAACACCACAGCAAACAGGACCTGGCTCTTCCCTGAAATCCCTGTGGTCCAGAGAGAGTGTGGGAGTCTGCGGGTGGGCTGTGCAGGGAATAAACCAAGGCCCAGCGCCGGGGAAGAGCCTGGAGGGAGCTCTGGAGTGCAGCTGTCCCTGGAGGCCTCCCCAGCCCGCCCTGCCTAAGCAGGGTCCTTTCCCGCGGCTCACAGCCAGGGGGCAGCCGGGCCCCAGAGCTAATCCAGCCCGAGGCTCTGTCCCAGACTAGGCCTCATGGCCATCCTCGGTCCCCTCAGGATCCTCCCAAGTCCAGATTCCAGGTGGGGCCTCGGGAGGACCCCACTTGACCTCAGCGCCCCCAGAACCGGTCGCCTCCCTCCCGCTGTCTTCCTGGCTGCCACGGTCCACGTCACCAACTCCCAGCCACCTCCCTGCTAGCCACGGCTCCCTGTTCAAGCTCCGGAACCCCGGGGCCGCACAGATAGGGGCTGGTGGAAGGCTGAATTGGGTGCCTGGAGCCACCTCCACCCAACTGTATGCACCCCCCAGTCTGGTGAAGGGAGCTGACCCCCCGGTGACCCCGGACCTGGAAGGAGGAACCCCAGCAAGTGGTAGGGGGAGGGACTGGTCCCCCTAGTGCCTGCACACCCTTCCCCGAGTCCTGGGATGTCCCCCGCACTCGCCCCCCTTTCTCCCGCCCCCGTGGGCGTCTCACCGGCACACGAGCGGGATTTCCAGATTTTGAGCAGTAGCAAGATGATGGCTAGGAGGTGGGAAAGGTCTCCCAGGAATCGGAAGAGATTCATGGTTGGGGGGATCTGGCAGGGCTGGAGGGAGGCAAGCTGGCGGGGGGCTGCCCCCTGGGGTTGCTGTTCTGGCCAGGCGGCTGGGCTGGAGGGCGGGAGAGGGGCCCTCGCGTGGGCTCCGCTTCTGGGAGGGGGCTCTGGGAGGGGGAGCCGAGGCGGGAGCTGTTGGCCGAGCTTGAGCTGGGGAGAAGGGGGAGGGGAGGGGGAGGAGTCTGGGCGGGGAGGCTCCGCCCCGAGGGCGGAGTCCCGGCTCTCTGGCGCCCCCTATCCCGCACCTGCCGATTTGCAGAGCTGGCGCTGAATACACCCTCAAGGCCACCTCCTAGAAATTTGCCGGTTCGCTGGGATCTGAAACTCCCAAATCCGGCACCTGCTCCCCAGGCAGTCTATGCCCAGCCTCTGCCCTTGACAGCAATTCGAGAGACTGGCCCTCTCAGCTTTAAAAATCCTAGACAGGGACCCAGAGGTTAGCTTTTCATGGTCCTCCAGCTCTAATCTACCCAAAAGACAAGAAAGCAGCCTCCCAGAGCCTCTCTCAGACCCAGGAGTCTGGGACCCCAGCACATTCATTTCCCAGGCCCCAGAAATCTGGAACCCTATCCCTTCCTCCTTCAGACCCAGAAGTCCAGGACCCCAGTCTCCCTCTCAGGACCCAGGAGTCCAAGCCCCCAGCCCCTTCCCCTCCCAGGACCTATTGTGGAATTCCAGGCTCTCAGCTCCCTCCTACCTCAGACCCAGGAGTTCAGGACCCCAGGAGTCAGGAGTCCGAGCCCCCCATCACCCTCCCCTCTCAGGACCCAGAAGTCCAGGCCCTCAGCCCCCTTCCTTAGGGTCCTACCTCAACCATCTTATGCCTCCAGCATCCTAGACCCAGGAATCTAGGTACACAATCCCTTCCTCCCTTTGGGACCCACAAATTCAGGCCCCAGTCTTCTTTCTCAGGAATGGAAGCCTTCACCCCTGCTTTCCCAGACCCTGGAGTCAGCAGCCCACAGCTCTGGCACCAGGTCCACTCCAGAACTGCCACACACACACACACACACACACACACACACACACACTCTCTCTCTCTCTGAGCCTCCACCCTCAGGGGCCCAAGTGTCCTGTGTGACACTCCACCCCACCACTTTATAGAAGAGCTGGGCTCAGCCTCTCTAGCAGGAGGGATAGGAGCTGGGCAGCTGGCCTTGAGGGACGCTGCAAGAACCAGGCTCTGACTAGTAGGGGGTAGATGCTGTTTTCCTCCTGGATGTTTGAGTACCCACAGGTGATGGAGGCCAGGGCCCCTCAGTATAAAAAGGGGTACAGAATATGGTTTCCTCAGAGGATTGGATGGATTGAGTGCCTCAGGGTGACACCCATGAGTCTTGGACTTGTGGGCCCTGAGGGTAGCTTGTGCTAGAGGGTCAGGTTGTCTGAGTACCTGAAAGGGGACTCAGGAGGAGGGAGCCTGTATTACTGGGTACCAGTGGAGAAGAGAGCCAGGGGCCCTGACTGCTGGGTCTGAGGGAGGAGGGCCTGGGGGCCTGGGCTTCTGGGTCTGCGGGAAGAGAGCACCAGTCACCTGGAGACCTAGGTCTGAGCAAGGAGGGGGCTGGGGGCCTGGACTCCAGCCTTCATGATAGAGACCTAGTTAGCAAGCCTGGCCTTCTGAAGCCAAAAGCTGTGTGCTAGCATGTTGGAGACCCAAGTCCAGGAATGGCCTTCCGCTTCTCAAGCCTCAAAGTGGGGAGGGGACAGAGGACAGCAGCCCCTGGGACCCTGAAGTCCAAGTCCCCAGGTCCAAAGCTAATGTCTCAATGCCTGATTATGAGTCCCGCCCCACCCCGCACCCCTCCCTTTTTATTTGCAACCCCTCACTCTCTTGTCCAGGAGGAAGGCAGAGGCTGGAAGCTGGGGAGGGGGAAGGCCCCCTCCCCCAGCCCTGGCAGGAGGAGGGGTCCCCAGGGAGGCCAAGGGGGGGGGGGGGGGGCTGTGGGTCTCCTGGCAGGGACGGACGGGGACTGAATGTTAATCGCATCCCGAGTGAGTGTGTGTGTGTGAGAACAGAGCGAGTGTGAGAGTCCCTCCCGCTCCGGCTCCTCCAAGCCGCTCCGCCACCACCCTCTACCCGCAACCTCCCTCCGCCACTGGTGCCCAGCTGGGGGGGGTGTCGGCCTGGGTGAGTCCGCCGGGCCCCCAGGGGTCTCTCGTGCGTCTGCCATCTGCCGGGTGAGGATCTGTGGGTCCGGGTGTCTGGGCTTGGGCTGATGAGGGGGGGGGTGTGTCTGTAAGGGCTGCGGCGCGCAGCGAGGGAGGCTGGGAGGGTCTGTCGGTCTGTACAGACCCTGAGCCGCCTGCTTGGGTGTCGTGGGCCCCTCTCCCCAGACCCCAAACCCGAATGAATGGTGTGTACCTGGGCTCTGTGCCTCCCGCTGGGCGTCTGGCGTCCCCGGCTGCTTGTGTCCTCCTGTCTGTCCGTAC